TTGAACTACTGTCCACTAGAGAAATCTATCTGATCAGAATCTCGAGATATTTTACATGCGAGAATTTTGCGTGTATACTAGCGCCACGTAGTGTGAAAATTCTGAACTATTGTGCACCAAGCAATAGGCATTGACCTCATGAACAACTTTTTCGAATACAGTAATGTTCTACCTGTTCAGAATCTCGAGCTTAGTATACGCGAGAATGGTACACGTTTACTAGCACCATGTGGTGAAAATTTTCTAGCCTACTGTCCACCAGCCAAAAAGTCTTGACCTTCTGAACAAGTTTGCCGAAAACAGTAATTTTCTATCTGCTCAGGATTTCTGAACAACTGTCCACCAACGAAAAGATCTTGACTTCCTGAAAAACTTTGCCAAAGACATTTATTCTTTATCTCGTCAGGATCTAGTGATGTATCACATACGAGAACTTCACTTGTATACGAGCACTACCTAGTGAGAAGATTTTGAACTACTGTTAATCAGCAAAAAAGCTATGATCTCCTGAACAGCTATGCCTAAGACAGTAACTTTTTATCTGGCCAGGATCTCGAGATATTTTATATGGGAATTTCACGTTTATACTAGCGCCGTGTAGTGAGAGTATTCTGAACTACTGTCCACCAGCCAAAACTACTTGACACCCTGAACTAGTTTGCCGAAGACAGTAACTTCTATCTGCTCAGGATCTCGAGCTATTGTATATGCGAAAATTGCATGTATATACTAGCGCCACGTAGTGAGAATTTTCTGAACTACTCCACCAACGAAAAGATCTGGACTTCCTAAAAAACTTTGCCGAAGACAGTAACTTTTTATATAGTAAGGATCTAGAAATATTTTATATATGCGAGAATTTTACATGTATACTAGTGCCGTGAAGTGAGAAAACGCTGAACTACTGTCCTACTGTCCACCAACGAAAAGGCCTTGACCTTCTGAACAACTTTGTCGACGACAGTAATTTTCTATCTGGTCAGGATCTCAAGATTTTCCATGTTGTAACCAATTAAGTCAAATCCCACGTAGTACGGACACAGTTTATGCGGTTTCCATTCACATTTTCTCTATTATTCGCATTTTTGTGGGTTAACTGTGATAAAATTTTAGCTTGTTTAGTTAAAAACAAGTTTTTTAATGAATACCCGTTGGTTTCACATCGATTGGTAGCTCGGCTGCAAAATGGCAATGGAAAATACACACTGTTGTACAAAGTACAACGCGCGAGTACTCGTGTTATAAAAGTTGGCACGAGTAACGGAGGGTTAACCGGAGAAAAAAGTAGCTCCTAGAATCAAAAATAGTGTCTAACCTAGTAAGCGAAATACTCTTACATATACCGATTTTACACATTGATAATTGCATAGGGACGGTCCATTAATCATGTCACGCAAATTTGACCCATTTTCAACCCCCCCTCCCCCCTTTATCACATTTTTGGTATGAACCTTAATTTTTTTTTGTATGGCTCGTCACAGTTTTCACAACCCTCCCTTCCCCCTAAATGTGTGACACAATTAATGGACGACCCCATATTTGTGAAATCGGTGACAATTGATCTGAATCACTCTGTAAACTATAACCTACGGAAAAACGGAACTCTGGTCGACATTCGAGCCAACAAACTTTGACCAAACCGAAAGCAACTACATTTCGTCCCAACATTGCACTTATGTTTTAAGTGATATTAGGCATTGAAGTAACGCAATAAGGAGATATTGATTTTGAGTCGAAATGAAAAAAAAAACATCTTATAAATCATATGGTTTTACAATGGCTCGCAATCACCAACCCGGAGGAGTTCGGATGAGATCTCACGATTGATGTGTTCATGCCAACATTCGTCCATGGATTATATGATCCAACCACACAGAATTCGACAATGTGTTTTACAATGAAAGAGTACACAAATACTTAAAAATCACATTCACATCACATTAAACTTCTTGAAAACAAAATAAAGCATTAAAATATTGAGGCCATTATCTATCAACTAGTTGGCATTGAATTTAAGATATAAATATTGAAAAATGATCATTTTGTTTTGTTGTCAACTTAGTTTTTTTAAAAACATATATGTAGCTCTAAATTATGTCAATGTTTTAACACTTCCCAAAAATTTTAAACAATATTTTACGTATTTCATCCGTTGCCTCTTTTGTGAACTTTAGTGTTAAGGACGACTGTCCTGTGAAGGGAGATTCTAAGAAAATCCACAAATCCAATTTTTGGGAATGCAAGACTCGCAAAGAAGATCTCGTTCGCGATAGGTAGGAAACGCTCCATGTTCCCGACTGGGTACTTATTTATCTGCTGTTAACAACGGTCAGCGAGGAATAAATTGTACACTGAAACAAACTCCACTGGAAAAATACTATATTGCTGGTTTAAATTAAATACCTTCACCACTAGATTTTTGCAAAAAAAACTAATTTAATTTTACTATTATTTCTATCAAAATTACTATACATTTTGAGCAAGTATAGTAGTTTTTCTAAAATCATAGTAAATTTGTTAATATTTATAGCTAACTTTTTGATTTACGGTTTAGCGACTTGCAGTCAATTTAATTGTTTGTAAGAAAGTTTGAACGTACTGAGAGGTTAGCACATATCATCGGTAAGAGACGTGTGTGTGAGAAAATTTGCGAAAAAATCTAAGGGCACCTGTGGGATTCGAACCCACAATTCCCATTCAGTACACGGGTGCATTGCCAATTATACAACGTAAAGACCATATAGGTCCTCATGGCTTCGGTTCATTACTCTAAGGAGACACGGTAGCCTGGTATAAAGCCAACAAGATCAAATTCGTACCCAAGGAGATGAATCCGCCAAACTGTGCCCAGGCCAGGCTAATCGAAACTTTTTGGGCCCTGACCAAAGCATATTTGCGGAAACATGTAAAGACAGTGGATTCCCTTACAAGGTTTGCGAAAGACTGGGAAAAAGTATCCAAAATTGTTGGAAAGACATCTGTGCTGAAGCTAATGAGAAGCGTGAGATCAAAAATCCGCTCCTTGGCTTAACTCTAAGTTTAACTGTAAGCGAATACTAAGAGAACATGAATACGAAATAAAAATCGAATTTGCTGTAAGCACAGCTACGTTATCGTTTGTTTGTTTTTAATCGTGCTTAGAAATTCTGGGACACCCTATAGATCCAAATAACTGCGCTGAAAACATAATTCTTTGAAGCTGGTTACTCATGAAGTAACCACCATGACAGCACATAGTAGTAGAACACAGTTTTCCGTTTATTCCATCAAGAATGCAGTAAGTAAGTTACTCACACGCTATTGGCTCATTAGTGACTCACCCGGAGAATAGATTTGAACTCGAGACCTTCAACCGGAGTAGCACACCAATGTTTAAAAAGCATCATAATACATAGCACTACCCATAAACAGTTCTTAGACGAAGGTCCAGCATGTCACTAGAGATTTAATTCCATACAGCAGAGGGTTCCCACCAAACCAAACATGTCAATCACTACAGCATCCATCACAACATCAACTAACATGTCGAATCCCTAATTTGCAAAAAGGTTGCCCACTTGAGACTGCCTCAATTCGTATCCGTCCCTTATCCTTCGAGCTTTATTGGATTACCTTCCTTAATGATGATATCAAATCTAAAATTCTCTGTCAAGTCATATTTGTATATTGGATATAACCTACACAAAAAATAGTAACCTCAAAACCCCTGTCTGCATGTACGAACGCAAGGACACACATACAGTTTGATATACGCAAAGAATGTATCTCGTTTCACGTCGTTGTCGAGTCGTCAAGAGGAAAAACGGAACGTAGGGTTACTACCAGCACCGCCGGGATATTTATGGAGTTGTTTTCCGGAACGGGTCGAACGACGAGTTCACTGCTGCTGCCAATCCCAAGCAAAAGGGTGCAGTGCGTCTCATATCCTTTATCCTCAATTTTCCCAGGATCGCACTCGTCGTCTAAAGCCCGATTTGAGATAGTATATCCAATTTGAATAATATCGATTCCGAGAGGTAAAGAGGCTTTGGGTTTCCCGTTCCACCGCTTATACGTACTGGGGAGTTATGGTTGCCACCTGAGTGGCAAATCCATGTAAGGAAAACCAATCACGTAGCGCTTGATTTACAAGGGGTTAAAGTGATTTTGCTTCGTTCTGTTCCCTAGACAGGTGTTGCACCGTACCCGGTTGCTCGGTCTGTCGCCCGAACCAGGGAGTTGTCATCCAGGTAAGGTTTTGCTGGATAAGGTAAGTGGCTCTCTAGTAGTGACGATCGCAAATTTGGATTTTCGATTTACCCTCTGCTTCTTCCAGTAAGACGTAGTCTACGTCAAAAATTAGATAAAGAAAAAGTGATATCTATCTTACTGCACAGAGAACAGACGTCAAACTTCGGTCAGAAGCTTGGCATTAACCCTTTGTCTGTACCTCTAAATTAAAGCTAAGTTCAATGCAAAAATCCTTCAAAACGGTAATTAAATCAGATTTGAAATATGTAGGCAGACATATTGACCCCAAGATACAGACAAAGGGTTAAAGGTACCACGGACAAACCAGACCACGTCCACTATTTAACCAGGGGTGGAGGTGATGGTGATGAAAAAATGCATTCAATTAATCAGCATAATAATGTCATCTTTAGTGAGCGCTATAAATTATCATTAGTCAGCGTCTTAGGACTCGCCCACTTAAACGCATGCACACCTCGCAGAACGGATTTATACGAACTGGTCGCTGGAGAAAAGACTCAACCGCACACTTCCGCGTGGCTTGCAGTTGCTATGGACGGTGTGGGCGTCCCAGCAGGAATCGTGATAAATGGTTTTAATCGTTAGCACCAGAACAATAAGAAAATACATTCGCTGTGCTGTTCTGGATGTACAGCGGGGTTCCTTGAAATGGATTACCCTAATTGAACACTTTCATCGTATTTCTATACCTTATACCGAATGTAATTGTCTAATTGAACAGATCAAACAAGTTGCAAAAAAAAACTTACCTTAACCGGAGAAGAAGCGAGCCACTGCTGGAACAGGTCGGACGTGACGGAGGCCCGATGCGGTGACCGGGGTGACGACTTGCACACGTCGCCACCGCCGGTAATTGACTGCAGCTTTGCGACGACATCCGGTGGTGCACGTTCATGGAACCAGCGCTCGATGGCAATCGAGTGGTCTTCGAAGAAGGTACCGATTTCATCCAGCTCCTCCTGGGAACAGCAGACGACCGGGTCCGGCTTCTGGCGCGACGGAGATAAATGCGTCGGCGACTGCGACTGGCTCATACTGGACCGTTGAGAATTGTTGGGCGACAGCAGATTGCAGTCCTCGGCAGTAGTTCCGGATCCGCCGGTGGAGGGTCTTGAATTGCTTCTAATTAAGCCATAATTAACATCACTTGCTTCGCCATTTTCACACTGTGAAGACAGTAGCTTCGGTATTGCACAGCAGTTATTGTCGACGGCTACGGTGCCGTTGCTGGTAGGAGGCGTCTCCTGGCTAGGAAATCGAATATGGCAGCCGGTGAGAATGGAACGGTTCGCAGAAGCAACATAATATGCTACTGTGAGGGATAAAGGTTGCTACTGGCTAACACAATCATTGTACTGTCCTGGGTGTACGTTTGCTCGAAGATTACACCGACAACAAGGGCACTAGCTAGGTCATACGTCGACTAAACAAGCATCACATGACTCACCAAAATTGACAATCGGCTGAGAGTACAATGGATAGGCTACCGGGTGTGCACCAATAGTCACTGACGTATACGTTCAGCGAGGCTTCACAGCACTCGGAGCACTGGAACATTATGAATTTTGGGAAAACCTATTCTATGCTCAGATGGGCTCTGCAACGATCTCGAATGAAGTTCATTTGGGATCAATTTCAGAAGGACCAAAATTACGGATAACATAAATTGAATTAGCACAGCTAGTGCTAAACTGCCTTGAAACAGCATTATATAGTGCTTGAATTTATAAAAATTAAATCGGTACGGCAGCACCACTCAGCAATTCTAGATATCTTTGAGGTCAACTCCACTGGTAAGAGGTACTCAGCATGATTTCCTAGGGATGCGCATGTTTTTTTTTATCACTTAATACGAGAGACTATCAGCCTTGGACTGGTTCATTTCTCAAATTCAATAGAAAATGTTTGATGGAAATTGAGAAAAGCAACTATCCACTATCAAAGTGACCTCTTTCGAATGGATTATATCAATTTGCCTAGTCATTTTACGAATTCATGGATCATTTGCATTTGACAAACGCGTTATGTCATTCAAATGAGTCTAACCTATACCCAAACGGAGCTCTAGTTGATATTTCGGCGAAAAATCTAGGCCAACCAGATACCAACTAGCCCGACAGGAATCCAAATTTGAGTTAACTTCCAAAATGGCGTCGGGCATTGATTTCCGGCCTCTACACGTCGTCCCTTTACAGGAAATGTATTTAAGCTTTTCTTGATTTCATGACTGCCATTTTGGTTCCCAAAATGGCGTCTGGCATCGAGTTCCGCCCTCTACGCGTCATCCCCTATCCGGAAATACCCATATTTTAGGGAATTTTACAGTTTTCCTGGAACTGATGCCCACCATTTTGTATTTTAAAATGGCGTCCGAAATCGGTTTCCGGTCTCTACATGTCATCCCTTTCCGGTTCTTGTCCCCACATTGCACAGCAACATCATACAGTCAAGATTCCTATAGTAGGGGAGAACAGTACATAACGCACCCCCGGGGTAAGACGCACTTTTTCATTTTATTTTGAGTTTTTCTTGGAAGTTTTAATCCAATTCTAGGATTTATAATGCAGGATTTTGAGTTCAGATGCTATGCTAGAAGTGCTGCTTGATAAGACAACAAAAAAGTTACGCAAAAGCCATGAAAAACACAAATGAAAGTCAGATGGTGCGTTCTGCCCAGGGGGTGCGTTGTATACCATTCTCCCCTACGGTTAATAGGGATCGTACTATAGGAACCGGCATTAACGAATACACGTAGCATATGGGATTAGAGCTAATTGGGACCAAACACTGATTGTACGGCAATTTGAAGAGATAACTTCCTGATGTCTTCTGAGAAGCTGTTAAGCAGAAAGTTGGCCACCTTTTGGGACGATTCGGTTTCCGGTAGGACCCAAGTCTGATCCTGTGGAAGATCCGGAATATCCGGAAAAGTGGCCATTTCATGAAACTGATCCTAGAGCTCTGCGGATTTTTAAAAACCACTCATAAACGTCTTATCAGAATGAATTTGGAGCTATGATCAAAAATGGACCCTGGAGAGTATGGGATGGTCCACCGGAAGATCCGGAACATCCGTAAAAGTGGTCAATTAATGAAACTGATCCTAGAGCTCCGCGGTTTTTTTTCCAAACAACTCATAGACGTCTTATCAAATGTATTCGGAGTTCTGACCGGAGTATGGGCCCTGGATACCACGGGATGGTTCACCGGAAGATCCGAAATATCCGTGAAAGTGGCCAATTCATGAAACTGATCCTAGAGCTCCGCAGTTTTTTCGAAACCACTCATAAACGTCTTATCAGAATGAATTCGGAGTTGTGACCAAAATATGTACCCTGGGAACCACGGTATAGTTCACCGAAAGATCCGAAACATCCGTAAAAGTGGTCAATTCATGAAACTGATCCTAGAGCTCTGCGGATTTTTCGAAACCACTCATAAACGTCTTATCAGAATGAATTCGGAGCTATGATCGAAAAATTGACCCTGGAGACTATGAGTAGGTCCACCGGAAGATCCGGAACATCCGTAAAAGTGGCCAATTCATGAAACTGATCCTTGAGCTCCGCGGTTTTTCCCAAACAACTCATAGACGTCCTATCAAAATAAATTCTGAGTGTTGACCAGAATATGAATCCTGAGAACCACGGCATGGTTCACTAGAAGATCCGGAACATCCGTAAAAGTGGTCAATTCATGAAACTGCTCCTAGAGATCCGTGGCTTTTTCGAAACCACTCATAAACGTCTTATCAGAATGTATTCAGAGTTGTGACCGGAATATGAACGCTTGGACGGAAAATAGACCTTTGGGACCATGAGAAGGTTCACCAGGAAGATCTTGAACATCCATGAAAAAAATTCAGTTCTTGAAACTGAGCTTAGAGGTCCGTTTTTTTTTCGAAACCACTCATTGGCGTCTTATCAGAATTAATTTGGAGTTATGACCAGAAAATTGACCCTGAGGACCAATGCATAATGGTCTCAAAGCCGTACTTATGAAGACAAAAATATTAGCACCAAAACCATCGCTTTTAGGTATATGGTGTCTTGGGGAAAGTTTCTTCATATTTTTTGGCTGATTTGAAAATAGGGTGGTCCTTAAAATTGGTGAATTGAAAATTCCACCTTTTTTATTACTTGAGATAGACTAATGCAGTACACAGTGGGCACAAAATTACAAAACCACGACTAAATTGAATATCTTGGCTGCCAAACGGTTTCAGTCAACATGTGTTGACCAGAATATGAATCCTGGGAACCACGGCATGGTTAACTAGAAGATCCGGAACATCCGTAAAAGTAGTCAATTCATGAAACTGATCCTAGAGATCCGTGGCTTTTTCGCAACCACTCATAAACGTCTTATCAGAATGTATTCAGAGTTGTGACCGGAATATGAACGCTTGGACGGAAAATTGACCTTTGGGACCATGAGATGGTTCACCAGGAAGATCTTGAACATCCATGAAAAAAATTCAGTTCTTGAAACTGAGCTTAGAGGTCCGTTTTTTTTCGAAACCACTCATTGGCGTCTTATCAGAATTTATTTGGAGTTATGACCAGAAAATTGACCCTGAGGACCAATGCATAATGGTCTCAAAGCCGTACTTATGAAGACAAAAATATTAGCACCAAAACCATCGCTTTTAGGTATATGGTGTCTTGGGGAAAGTTTCTTCATATTTTTTGGCTGATTTGAAAATAGGGTGGTCCTTAAAATTGGTGAATTGAAAATTCCACCTTTTTTTTTATTACTTGAGATAGACTAATGCAGTACACAGTGGGCAAAAAATTACAAAACCACGACTAAATTGAATATCTTGGCTGCCAAACGGTTTCAGAACATGTTATACATATTCTCAAAGGAAAAACTCTCCTGAATCAATTGGTAGTGGTCTCATTGGCCGGAGACTTTTGCGTACCGAGATAGAGGGCCGGGATCAACCAGAGTTCCCGGTAATGTAGGAAATGCCACTATCTATCGACATAATTTTAGGCTTTACTTAACGTATATTACTGAAAATTGATAGTACTAAGTATACATGGTGTAAAGACACCATATACGCCCTCAGGAAAACTCTACTGGCCTAAAGGAGGATCCGGAACGACCGATAAAGTGGCCACATTATAAAAAATGTCCTAGAACCTTGCGATTTTTTCTATGTTGTTCAGAATCAAGAAATCAAAGCGTATTTAACTTGGAATACATATTTTGGAATATGGTGGCCATATCCTGGTTCACCGGATAATCTGGATTGACCGATAAAGTGGCCACATTATAAAAATTGTGCTAGAACCTTGCGATTTTTTCTATGTTGTTCAGAATCAAGAGATCAAAGCGTATTTAATATGGAAACTATATTTTGGGGTGTAGTGGCCATATTCTGGTTCTCCGGATAATCTGGATTGACCGATAAAGTGGCCACATTAGTGACCACAATTGTGCTAGAACTACTTCATTGGCCACCATATTCCAAAATATGTATGGTCGATTCCGTAAATACCCGTATTGAAGGGTATTTGACAGTATTTACCAGTTTTTTCTTAAACAAGAAGCAGCCATCTTGGATTTCAAAATGGCGTCAGACATTGATTTCCGGTCACCGGCGCCGGTGGTGTAGTGGTAAGCGTGGCTGTTTTCTAACACCCCAATGGGTCTGGGTTCAAGCCCAGCCGAGGTCGGTGGGATTTTTCTGAGGCATAAAAATCTCTGGTCACGTCTTCCTTCCGAAGGGAAGTAAAGCCGTTGGTCCCGGCCCATGTGTGTTGAATGGATGCGATATCCTACGCAGGTGTGGAAGCTGCCTTCCTGCACATTCGATTGCCGTCAATGGATGGCAATCGATGTCCGTCGGTGATTGGCACTAGATTGCGGAACAGAGACCGACATTAAATAAAGGAAAAAAAGAAGATTGATTTCCGGTATATATACACTATCCTGATACCAAAAATACCCATATTGAAGGATATTTGGCATTATTTCTCTGTTTTTCTATAACCGGAAGCCACCATCTTGGATTTCAAAATGGCGTCAGACATTGATTTCTGGTCTCTGGACATCACCCCAATTCCGGAAACAGCAATATTGAAGGATATTTGGCATTATTTCCCAGTTTTTCTATAACCTGAAGCCGCCATATTGGATTTCAAAATGGCGTCAGACATTGATTTCCGGTATATATACGTCATCCTGATTCCAAAAATACCCATATTGAAGGATATTTCCCAGTTTTTCTGCAACCGGAA